CTGCCCTGGTAGCGCTTTCCAGGCATTTACCACCCTCCGTGTAAAATAATTTGTCTCTCACATCTCCTTTGAACTTGCCCCCTTTTACCTTAAACCTATGTCCCCTAGTAATTGACATTTCAGCTCTAGGATAAAGACTCTGACTATCCATTCTATCAATACCTCACATAATTTTGTAAACTTCTATCAGGTTGCCTGTCATCCTTCGACGTTGAAGTGAAAGCAAACGAAGTTTGTCCAATCTCTCCTCGTAGCTAATACCCTCCAAACCAGGCAACATCCTGGTAAACTGTTCCTGTACCCTCTCCAAAGCCTCCACATCCTTCTGGTAGTGTGGCGACCAGAACTGTTCACAATATTTCAAATGTGGCCTAACTAAAGTTCTATACAGCTGCAGCATGACTAGCCCATTCTTATCCTCTCCCTGCCACCTCACACTCAGTCTCTCTTTGCTACAGCACCCACCTCCCACCAAGGCTCATGCTCTACCATTTTCACTGTTGCCTGCAACATCTTTGCTCACCCACTCTCGCCACCTCAACACCACTGAGCACCAACTCTCTACACAGCCTACTCACTCACTCGGGACACCAACTCACCGACCACTATCTGCTGTGCCACTCAATGTCACCTCACCAGCCAAGAGAAAAAGGCTCAGTATGGAGCAAACAAGGATAGGGGAGGCCAAAGTTTGGCTCCTCACCCCTCTGAGGGGATGATCTTTGTCCTCACTGGCAAAGAGAGGGACGGGTTCCTGGAAACACAAAGATGTACGTGTTGCAGTAACCAAATAAGAATCATTGTCTATTGTAGTGTAATTCTCACATTTAACTCCACCGACAATGAACTATTCACCTGACACAATCTTTAACCCTCAGTTGTGATGCTGTCTCTTTTTCATGTTTTGTAAGTACCAGCGGCAGGTCCACATTAGCCGGTCACGAAGACATCCCCTTGACCGCCTCTCAGGAAGACAGCACTGACCCAAACCCTCACCTGAAAAGACCCCTCAGAGACCATGTCCCACCCACCCACCAGCAGCTCTGATTCTGACAACTCAGCAGGTATTTCATCTAGAGTCAAGTTAGGAGCATTTTACTGCCATGTCTCTGCAGATGATTGAGAAACTACCATGCCAGTTCACTGGCAATTGGCACTCTGCTGGGGACCAGGCAGCAGGTAAGAGGCTTTGTGGTCTCTCTGTCCTCTTGAAGCAATCAAAATTTCATACGAATGTACAAGTGCACTCAGGATCAACAGGCAGGATTATGATGCCAATGGCTACAAAGCTGCAGTAATGCCACTGGGATCCTGCTACCTCAAGCTTGCGATCATCTGGCTGCTTCCATGGACAGGTTGGTAGCTGCCATGGACAGCCAGGTCCCGCAAACTCAGAGTCTGATGGACACAGGAATGTGCCTGCATTCCATCGCGTGTAGACATTGGTGTCCAGCATCAATAAGGTGACGAGCCACGAAGGGACCTTAACCTTACTCCAGGCGTCCCTTCCTCACAAGGAGACAGAAGAGTGATTGCCAGAGAGAAACCACCAGCAGATCTCCCGGGAGTCTCCTCTTGGACTGCTCCAGAGGTGGATGAGATTTCTATCTCCGCACTTCCTGCTGTCCTCAGCCCCTGGGAATTCAAACTGAAGGGGGTGCACCTGCTTCTGGGCAGATGACACTCAGCATGTCTGGGCTATCTCGACACAAATGCCCTGAGGTTACCCGATCAAAGCACCAAGGCTCCACTGTACATCAGGGAATGAGCTAAGACCCAGTGCGAGGGAGAGAAAGAAGTCCTTTTGAGGGCATATTGGTGGCATGGTAACAATTCACTGTAAATAAGTTCTCAAATTTGTAACTATATATGTTCAGTTCTGACTGTCATCTGTTTGTGCACGTCTCTGTGTAGCTGTAAATGCAAAGTTGAAGGTACTGAAGCTAGAATTTTTATCCCTAGACGATGGTCCAAAGACATCTTGACATGAAGTGAACTATTGTTGCACCATGAGCGGGTAATCGGTGCCTGAAAGGTGCCTGCAACGTTGATAACTCAGCTCCGTGTACATGGACGTTGTTATTACCCCACTGTCCCCAGTGGAGTTCAGCCATTACCCCGCTTGAAATGGTCAGGAGAGCTCAGGTAATGGAGTTGAACTGTATCAATGTGTGTGCCTACTGATTATGTAGTTTGAAGGGCACCTTGTAGTGATAAAGGTCTGGTCACAGCCGTACTTGTTCCAATTGCTCACTTTTATTTCACAGGTTGTGGAAGGCAACAGCAGCTGCTCCTCAGACCCTGAGTTCCGGGCTCTGCCTTGCCAAACATTATCAGCAGCCTGGCAATGCATAGGAATCGCACCATCTCAACTCCCCATCGAAACTGCTAGCCAAGTCTAAACCTGTCCACATTTACCCACAGCCTGAGGCATTTGAGGTGAAGATACCACATCATGTAGCTCAGTGTCACTGCTGGTTGCCTGGGTGCCACTCACAGTCAATGAACACCCCTTCTCACATGACCCCCTGATGGCCTGTGGTCTATCATCTCACCAATTTATAGATTGCGTTGTGCCCACCCACTATCATAATCCTCTATGTATCCCAGCATTTTGCCTCCGCTTCCTACCAGTAATTCCGTGCGCCCTCCTGCAGGATAAAAGCCTCCTCCCTCGATATTTTGTGGATGGATCACCTTGAGCAACTTAGTTGCATAGCCCGGATTGTGTGAACGAATCCCTGAGTGATATCTGTACAATTCCCCAGCTGGGTCCCCATTACCCATACATATTATTAACTGTAGAAAGGATGTGAATACATTGGAGAGAGTGCAGAAGCTGTTGATGATGATGAGCAACTTCAGTTATGAGGATTGATTGAAGAAATTGGGACTGATTTCTTTGGAGAGAAGAAGGCTGAGAGGAGATTTGATAGAGGTTTTCAAACTCATGAACAGGCTGTAGAGAGTAGATAGGAAGAAACTGCTCCCACTCATAAAAGGAACATGAACAAGAGGTCATCGATTTCGAATGATGTACGAAAGAAACAAGGTTTATGTGAGGAAAATCTTACCACTCAGTGAGTAGTTAGGGTATAGAATAAAGACAGGTACAATTAAGGCATTTAAGAGGGCTTTGGATGATTATTTAGATACAAAACGTGTGCAAGGGTATGAGGGAAAACAGCAGGAGATTAGCACAAGATAATGATGTTCATTTAATGAGCTAGTGCAGGCACGAAGAGGCCAAATGGCCTCCTTTTGCACTGTAACACTCTGTAATTCTTTGACTCTGGGATTGGCTGAATTTGATCCATGACCGTGACCCTTTTCCTGGAGTGTTCAGGAATATGTACATACTCTCTGACTGTGAATGCTCTAACTCAAAGTCTGACTGTGCCCAAACCCCTGGACTGACACTGGAGGTCACTCTGGACTTACTTGCTGGGTTCCCTGGATTGACAGGTGCTTCCATGGACATCGGTAAGGACAGCTCCACTGAGATTTTGAGGTATGGCCATGGCCATGTACTTGCTGTTGGCACATGGCGCAGGTATGAGGTTGACATAGCAATGTGCCATATAACAAGGTGTCCAGCCCCTTGACTGGTGACCATGCTACCATGAAAAGTTCGCTAAGTTCATGTAAGGACAGAAAAGGCAATGTCAGAGCAAAAGGACAATGCATGGCAGGGATGCTGTGAGCATCTTATGTCGCTGTGAAGTGAGTGAGTGCTAAAGAAACAAGTGAGTAGCCCTGATTCTGTAAGCTGGGTGCCTCTTCCTGCAGGTAAAGTATCCTTGATAATTGCTGGCATGCTCCAAAGAGCAACATTGAAGTGCAGCAGCATTCTACATGTACACTGGCAATGTGTGACAATGGTATGTCTGTAGATGTGGAGTGCGTGCTGCTGCCGGGTGTTTAAGCTGGCAATCCAGTAGAACAAGTGAGAACTGGATTCTCCAGGTACCTGCACAGACTTCTGTGTTGGAGAATTCTCAACATCTAGTTTCCTGATGGTGGGTGGCATTATAGGAGGCTGCCTATTGATGCAGAAAGGTATGTAGTTAATGAAAGTGGCAACAAGCAATAATTTCCCTGAATAGGAAGCTCATTGCTGCCTAGTGAGAATCTTGTCTCCACCCCAGAAATCCACTGGAAAATGTAGACAGCTGCTCCTGACATGGAGAAAGGCTTTGCTGGATTCCTCACCTTTCTTCCAGATTTCTCACCATAGCCCATGGTCATTCAGGAACTGATACAAGGCCCATCAGCTACTCTGGAATCAGACTTGGCCAGTATTACCACGGGCTGGGATCACAACAGTGCATTGCAAAGAAGCTTTGAGACATTTGAATTCTGTATTTACCAGAAAAGGCTTGTTGCTGCCCTATAGAGAGGGCATAGCTGCCCTATGGTCTCCCTGAGCTGCTCCTTCTGCAATTTGCTGCACTGAGTCCATTCTGAAAGATCTTCCTTTGGTAGATCACTCAGAAAAATTGAAGGGTAGCATGTGTGTACTGTTTTGGCTCAACAAGGTCAGAATTAGTGCTACCAATCCTGAGCAACGCTCTGGACTGGCATGACTTCAAAACCAGTCTACTCCCATTTTACGGTCACTTTTCCCTGTCTTCCCCTACCCTCCCAACCGCACCACGCCCCTCCCCACCCCACAACGTCCAGAATCATTTGTGTGTGTCTCAATATAATTTAGCCTTTGTTTCTCTGTCACAGAACCTGCTCAAATTAGCTGCCCAGAGCAAAAGCTGAAAATGATTTCAGAGGAATGGCTGAAACCATTGCCAAACAGATAGCTGGCAACAGCTGGCTTTTCCTGCTGATCCCAAAAAGGGAATTAAGAGAACGCAGCCCAGTATGTTCATCGCTTGTGAAACAGCAGAATGATGTGTGTATATATCTTTAATTGCAGCACTTCCGCTGCCACATACAATAGTTCATGTAATTTTACTGAATGATTTTCGGTTCCTGTTTCACTCACCGATCCTAATTGTTTTCAATTTATTTCTTCAGTTTTTTTAAAATTTCTATTCGTTACAAACAGCATCATTTCCTACCTGAGAAAACAGTGAGATATTTAACCTTCTCACGCAGAACCCCTATCTTCACCAGTGCTTTTTCTGCCCCTGTCTGTAGAGAAGCGATTAGGGAAATAATTGCCAAGAGTTTTAGCGTAGGAACAGATACTTTGGCTATTGCAACCGTTTCCAGCTGAGTGAAAGCTCGTTAGCAAAACAGCAGTGGGGCTAGGCCGAGATTAGAAATGTAAAAGGAGTGGGTACTGTACTAATAAAGCAAGCGAGCACGCACAAGAAATAACTGTGTCATAAGAATTCATTCCCCTTAATTATTGCAGTATCTACAATGATTTCTGCAGTGGATAGCAGGTAATCACCAATTCCCTGTACACTGAAAGCATGCACAGACGTCAAAGTTGACGGGAGAATAAAACTGATATTTAAGACCCAGTCCCGGTACACAGCATGTTACGTGTGAATACACGCGTTATCGCTTTAACGCAGCAACGAATGTAACCTATTTGTCATCACGATGAAAGGATTAATGTAAAGTGTGTAGTTTCGAAAAAAAAGTCTTTGGAGCCGCCAAAGCAGTTGTGACTCATCGGTGCATCTGTAAATGATTCCGCAACGTGCAAACCCTCCTGTAATTTCCGCTCCCGCTTCAAAACGGCAACTTGTGAAACTGACAGCGATCCGGAATCTGTCAGAAACTTACAACATTCTTTTCGACCTGGTGGTTCCTGACGTAGGAATATCAGACCTCACCCCCAATTTACAACAGGCCATGTTAAGCCAAGCTATTGCTGCATGTCTATGGAAGAGAGGGAAAGCCAGTGTCTATATGCACAGTGATTTTGCTTAAGTGCTACCAGGCATTGACTCAACCCTACAGACATCCATAGGTTGGGTGAGCTCAGACACACGGTGTTGGGAAGTTTCCCCTCCGCATTCCTTATTGGCTGATTCAGCAGTGAAGTCATGGGAGGCTGCTTCACACTAAGATGAGACATGAATTGGCAAAGTATCTGCAGTCAGAAGATCCTGCGTGGTAATTTTAAGAGGCATGTCATCAAGTTAACAGGAAAACTAATGGAATGTTATGTTTTATTGTCGGGGGAGGGGAGGGAACTGAATGTGTGGGAAGGGATGTTATGCCTGAGTTATACTGTGCATTGGTGAGATCACATCTGGAATTGTGTGTACAGTACTGGTCACTGTACTTAACGAAGAACGTTAATACTTAGAAAGCAGTTCAGAGGAGGTTTACTAGACTATGAGCAGATTGCCTTTTGATGAAAGGATAGACAGACTGGGGCTGTATCCTCTGGAGTTCAGATGAGTCAGAAGTGATTCAACTGAAAAACATAAGATCCTGAGGCACCTTGACTGGTGGATGTTGAAAGGATGTTTCCTCTTGTGGGAGAATCTAAAAGTAGGGTGCTGTAACTTAAAAGTAAGGAAATACCCATTAAAAAGGAAACTTTTTTTTCTCTCTGAGGCATGTGTGTCTTTGGAATTCCCTTCAAAAGATACCGGATGCAGAATCTTTAAATATTTTTTAGGGCAGAGATAGATTGTAGCTTACCAAAGGGGATGAAAGATTATTAGGGATGTGCAGGAATGTTGAGTTCATAATCTTATTGAATGAAGGAGTAGGCTCAAAAGGCTGAGTGGCCTACTCTTGTTCCTTGTTCACTTTGTAAATAATAAATATTTAATAAATATTTTGTTGCCTGTGTGTCTACCTAAATACTAAATCAATTACATTGTTAAAAAGATTTCTTCACTAATGTTAAGAGCAGTGGCCTGTTCTATTTGATAAGTGCCTGGAATGAGACTTGCTCGTATAAACTTTGTAGTAGAAGAATACATTAAGGAACCTGAAGCAGATGAGTAGATTATCAAACAGTCCTCTAACAGTAGGAGCTATCAGCAGAAAATACTGGAACAACGCTGATAGACAGAATTCCTCAGGTTCTGGAGCAGCTATGCATTCAGTTTGTAAAATAATACATTCTATGAGCACAGTAATCCAGACAAGCACACTGGTCTTTCTAGCTTGCCTTACAGTCCTCACGTGACGTGATTCCATGGGGAACTGAGTTATGAGGAAAGTCTCTAGGCTGATGCAGCTTAATATTAAAGAACTGACGTTGGTGTTCACCACCAGGAGATTGTGAATAAGGCCACGGATGAAGCTGTCAGATGCAAATTTGATGTCAACCATTTGGTGGCAAACTTCGAGCAAGATGGCAGGCACTAGCATTGCATCTGCCGCTGCCAAATGGGAAATGAAGACTGCTGTGCTCTTCTTAGACACAGTCTGAGACAAGAGCAAGACTAAGACATGAAGTGTTCCAAAGGCTCCTGCGGCCAATACCACAATATTTGTAGAAGGCAGGATCATGTACTGTATGTATTTCACAACCAGGTATCTCTTCAGGACGCGCAGGTAGTCTGTGTGGTGAGGGCCCTTTGACTGTCCAGGGGTCCTGTGGGCAAGAAAGTATGTTAACTTCTTCACAAAATGACTTTTTGATTTAAGAATACCATTTTTTAAAGTCCTAAACTTGAGAGTGCTTTTTGTTTTCTTGAGGCAACTCCTTTTCCCTATTTGTCATTTCGATGTCACGCATGTTTGCAACAGCTTTACAGGGTTAATTCTAAAAAAGATTTCTCAAAGTTGTCTCAACGACAAGGAAATTTGCATAATGTGATCAACTAGATGAAATCACATGTACTTTAACAAAGAAATTAGTCCAGCAGGTCCTGTTACATTGCCCTTGAAGGCATCAGCTCCAATATCATGAAATTATTTAATCTCCTCTGCCCTAGCCAGCCTGTCTTATATTTGCTTCAGCCATATCACTGTCATGTGAATCAGAGGTTATGGGTTCATGTCTTACTACAGTAAACAAAGTGTAGGTTGACACCCTGTGCAAGGTCAGTGCTGACCTTACAGTGAGACATGATCACAAGGTCCTATATGTTCTCTTGGGAAGAGATAAAAGAACACACTATTATTTTGCAGAAGAGTTGGGTGTCCTGGCTAATATATTTGCCTCAATCCCTTGTGATTAAAATGAATCTTCTGGCTGTTATCACATTGCAGATATGGGAGATTACTGCCTGCAAACTGAGTGGATCTTTTTCTACACAGTTGAGAAGGGATGTGTGGTTGATACATGCACAGTTCTTTTCTGAACATGTTGGAAAGTAAAGACCAGATGGAATGATGGACAGTAACATTTTACATCACCTAATGTTTACAAAAAGGCTTTTTGCTCTGATGTTCCTGTTACTAATGGATCTGATTTCTGTAAAGTTGGCAAAAGCATAGTTTCATTAAGATAGGTATCTTGTGAATATCCCTTTTTGAGCTTCTAACAATGTTTTGTGGTACAAGTAGGAGGCCAATTCAGCCAAAGCTATCTAGATTATTATGAAAGTCAATTACACTCCCACAGTTGGAAATGTTCCTTTTCTTTTCAAACATTCCTCTGTTTTTCCCTTAGCTCTGCAGGAGATGTAGTACAATTACCATACATGTCTGCCCTCATTGGAGTTTGATCAGAAATAACTTTATTTTTCACATTTGAAATCCAATTCAAAACTGTTTGTGGGATTTCCATCAAGCTTGTAAAGCAGTAATCAGATACAGGTCAGTTACTTGGAACTGTAATGGGCGAAGTGACATATTCTATTTGCTGTTGTTAATTAAAGTTAAGAAAGAAAATAGTTGAATAAGTGCCTGAATAATTCAATAATTTGAAAGACTTTAAAGATAGTACCTTAGTCATGCAATTAAAAAATCACAAGCCAGATGATCACGATGACATTAGCCAAAAAACTTTGTTTCTCAACTGAAATAAGCACATTTGCATTCGTGTAAGATTGACGCTCTCTCCCCCTCCAATATTGGAGAAATCTCCATTCACTTGTTTAAATGATTTTTGCTCTTAAATCAGCTGAAAGCAGTTGCTTCCATGAGAATATACATTTGTCTAGTAATATAATGGATAAAATGTCTAGTTTTCTTGTGTGTAACACCTAAGTGGATAATCCAAGTGTATGCATGATCAATTACCATGGCAAATGCAGTATCTCACCATGAGGGCGATGCTAACAATTCCAGTTTGTTCACTCTAACCCCACACCTAATCAACTCAGTAGTATTCACTTTCAGAATGTGGGTGACTGTAAATTGGGATAAGATAGGATTTACAACAGGCTGTGGGAAGCTTGGTTACTTGTGCATGTCTGTCAGAGAGAGGGAAGTTATAGCACTGACATATGGGGATGGAGTACGCATGCTTTCTACCACTCTTGGAATGCTACCCTGAAAAGTTTGCAAGCAGCCTCTCCTTTCCATGATGTGAGGCACTAAGTGCTTGATCCAAGGACTCAGCATCAGGCAGTAGGGTGGTGACTGAGAACCATGCCTCTGTCCTTGCTTCCACACCCACCTGCTGACCCTCTGTCATCATTCCTCTCCTGTGATTCCCCAATTTCCTCCACTTACATGTGATCTAGTCTCCTATGAATGATCCTAGATTTCTAGTGGGTGCATTGGTCACCAACCATTAATGTCAGTGCCATGAAAAGTAGCCAGCCAATAATTGGCCAACAGTTCAGTGGCTGAGACTCCCAGCACTGGGGGCCTCAGTGCCTTCCTTTTGGGGAAGACATTTAATTCTGCTGGTCCTCTGCCGTGGAACTGATGGAGTTTCCTGTTCGTCCTGTGAATTCTAGCTGAGACATCCATCATCCTGACAGATTCCTGAGCTCTCTCTGTCTCGCTCACACACACACACACACACACACACACAGACACATTCGTTGTCTCTTGTGTGCACAAACATTCTCCCTCACATGCGCACAAACTCCCACAGGCTCTCCCATGCACTCTATTACATATTTTTGTTCTCTCACATACTCCTTCAAATTGTTTAGCTCTTTCACACTCTCTCTCTTAAACACAATTATGGGCATTCTCTCAAGTGCACACTCACACCCGTACACACATTCACACTCATCTACAGACGCACACACTTGCACTTTTACTCAGAGATAAACCCCTCAATTTTTGGTGACTTCCAGGCTTTGCCAAAACAGAAATGTAGTTGCTGCAATTTGCTTTCTCTATCAATGAGATTAGTTCATGAGCTGACAGGAAATTCCAGTACATTCAAGACCAGTCTTCATTTTAAGAACTTCAGTGAAATTATGGTGCTATTAGCCACTTTGGATTTTGGGCAGTGATTGATTTGAGTTTTCTCTGAAATGTAACACACTAATATCTCATTTTAAAATAAAAACCTGTTGCTGAATAAATGTGGGGTTTAAAAAGAGTCAGTACAAATTGAGAAAATAGAGCTAAGACAATGCTACTAAGAGGAGAAAATGTTAAACACTTACACTTTCTGTTGTTGGGAGCTTGTTTCACAAAGCTTGTTCAGGTGATCCATTCCTTCATATCAGAGATTTTCAGCATCTGTGAAAGATTTTCTGATATTCACTTTTATATATTTGTCATCTGGTTTAAGTGAGTACTGATGTCATCAGCTTATGCTATGGTTACCAACCCTTCCTCTTGCAAAACAATTGAATATTGGCTGACTTACTACATTCTTCACCAATCCAGCCCTCGGAGTATTTTTATACCAGCAAAACAACTGGCAGGGCTCTTTCTTTTTTCTTAGTTGCCTGAAGTGAAGGAAGAAAAATATCAGCAATTTAGCTTCAGGTTATTGGCTCAGGCCATAGCTAAATCTAGAGAAACGCTTTATTTCATTTTGAAAAGAGAAGCGTCAGGACAAGATTTGGTCTGGAAGAGTATCTGATGGGTTATTGATCCTGGCCTGAGACATTTAGGTTTTGGATGATTTTTGTTTGGGAAGTTACTGAAAATTTGACTTGATAACAGCTTACACTCAAACTGACATTATCTGACGAGAACAAATGACTTTGTGTATACAATCAGATCGAAGAGCGACAAAAATAATTTGTGCAAGGACTGCGAAAGATGTATAAATGGGCGTGAAAACAACATAGAACATAGAACAGTACAGGCCCTTCAGCCCACAATGTTTTGCCTACCTATTATCCTACTAAGGTCAAACTACCCTGCATACATTACATTTTACTATCCTCCATGTGCCTATGCAAGAGTCGCTTAAAAGTCTCTAAAGTATCTGACTCCACTACCACTGCCGGCAGCGCATTCCACAAGCCCACCACTCTCTGTGTAAAGAATCTACCTCTGACATCTCCCCTATACCTTTGTCCAATCACCTTAAAATTATGACCCCTCGTAATAGTCATTTCTGCCCTGGGAAAAAAGTTTCTGGCTATCCGCTCTATTTATGCCTCTCATCATCTTATACACCGCTATCAAGTCACGTCTGATCCTTCTTCACTCCAATAAAAAAGCCCTAGCTCCCTCAACATTTCCTCATAAGACATGCCCTCCAGTCCAGGCAGCATCCTGGTAAAACTCCTCTGCACCCTCTCTAAAGCTTATACATCCTTCCTATAATAAGGCGACCAGAACTGAACACAATACTCCAAGTGTGGTCTAACCAGGGTTTTATAAAGCTGCAACATAACCTTGTGGCTCTTAAACTCAATTTCCCTGCCAATGAAAGTCAACATACCATATGCCTTCTTTATAACCCTATCAATTTGGGTAGCAACTTTGAGGGATCTATGGACGTGGACCCCAAGATCCCTCTGTTCCTCCACACTGCCAAGAATCCTGCTATTAACCCTGTATTCAGCATTCAAATTTGACCATCCAAAATGAATCACTTCACACTTTTCTGGGTTGAATTCCATCTGCCACTTCTTTGCCCATCTCTGCTTCCTGTCAATGTCCCATTGCAACCTACAACAGCCCTCTACGCTATACACAACTCCACCAATCTTTGTGTCATTGGCAAACTTACTAACTCACCCTTCCACTTCCTCATCCAAGTCATTTATAAAGATCACAAAGCACAGAGGTCCCAGAACAGATCCCTGCAGAACACCACTGGTCACCGAGCTCCAGGCTGAATACTTTCCATCTACTACCACCCTTTGTCTTCCATTGGACAGCCAGTTTTATATCCCAACAGCCAAATTTCCCTGAATCCTATGCCTTCTTACTTTTTGAATGAGCCTGCCATGGCAACCCTTATTAAATGCCTTGCCAAAATCCATATACACCACATCCACTGCTTAGCCTTCATCATGTGTTTTGTCACATCCTCAAAGAATTCACTAAGGCTTGTGAGGTATGGGCTGCCCCTCACAAAGCCATGCTGACTATTTCTAATCAAACTGTGCTTTCCAAATAATCATAAATACTGTCTATTGGAATCCCCTCCAATAATTTGCCCACCACAGAAGCAAGACTGACTGGTCTATAATTCCCAGGATCATCCCTGTTCCCTTTCTTGAACAAGGGAATGACGTTCGCCACCCTCCAATCATCTGGTACTACTCCAGTGGACAGTGAGGATGGAAAGATCATCGCCAAAGGGGCAGCAATCTCTTCCCTCACTTCCCGTAGTGACCTTGGGTATATCCCGTCTGGCCCAGGGGACTTATCTATCCTCATGTTTTTCAAAGTTTCTAGCACATCTTCCTTCCTAACATCAACCTGTTCAAGCATATCTGCCTGTTTCATGCTGTCCTCACAAACGTCAAGGTCCCTCTCACTGGTGAATACTGAAGCAAACTATTCATTAAGGACCTCCCTGACCTCCTCTGACTCCACGCACAAGTTCCCTCCACTATCCCTGATTGGCCCTACCCTCACTCTAGCCATCCTCTTGTTCCTCACATAAGCATAGAACACCTTGTGGTTTTCTTTGATCCTACCTGCCAAGGATTTTTCATGCCCCCTTCTAGCTCTCCTAAGTCCCTTCTTCAGATCCTTCCTGGCTACCTTGTAGACCTCCGGAGCCCTGTCTGATCCTTGCTTCCTCAACCTTAAGTAAGCTTCTTTCTTCCTCTTGACTAGGTGTTCCACATGTCTTGTTATCCAAGGTTCCTTCCATCTTACCATCCCTTCCTTGCCTCAGTGGGACAAACCTATCCAGTACTCGCAGCAAGTGCTCCCTAAACAACTTCCACATTTCTGTCGTGCATTTCCCTGAGAACATCTGATCCCAATTTATATCCGCAGTTCTTGCCTAATAGCATTGTAATTCCCCCTCCCCCAATTAAATACTTTCCCATACCATCTGCTCCTATCCCTCTCCATGACTATAGTAGGTCAGGGAGTTGTGATCACTATCACTGAAATGCTCTCCCACCAAGAGATCTGACACCTCGCCTCGTTTGTTGCCAAGCACCAAATCCAATATGGCCCCCTTTCTACTTGGCCTATCTATATATTGAGTCAGAAATCCTTCCTGGACACACCTGACAAAATCTGCTCCATCCAAACTATTTGTACTTAGGAGGTTCCAGTCTGTGTTAGGGAAGTTGAAGTCACCCATGACAACAACCCTATTACTTCTGCACCTTTCCACAATCTGTCTCCCAATCTGTTCCTCAGTGTCTCTGTTGCTATTGGGGGTTCTCTAGAAAACTCCCAATAAAGTGACTGCTCCTTTCCTGTTTCTGACTTCCACCCATACTGACTCAGTGGACAAACCCTCCTCCATGACTTCCCTTTCTGCAGCTGTGAGACCATCTCTGATTAGCAATGTCACTCCCCCACCTCTTTTACCTCCCTCCCTATTTCTTTTGAAACATCTATACCCCAGAAAATCCAACAATCATTCCTGCCCCTGTGTTATCCAATTCTCTGCAATGGCCACAACATCATAGTTCCAAGTACTGATCCATGCTTTAAGTTCGTCACCCTTATTCCTGACGCTTCTTGCGTTAGAATAGACATACTTCAACCCATCACACTGACTGCAACCTTGCCCTATCAACTGCTTATCCTTCCTCACAGATTCTCTGCATGCCGTATCTGCCTGTACACTGGCTACCCCATTCTCTGATCCGTAGCTCCAGTTCCCACCCCCCTGCCAAACTAGTTTAAATCCTCCCAAAAACAAATGCTGGAGTTCACAGCAGGTCAGGCAGCATCCATGGAGAGAGAGCCAGCTAATGTTTTGAGTCTAGATGACTCTTCATCAGAGTTGGGTGAATTCAATGTCACATTAGATGGAAAGTAAGATTGAATTCAGAATCATAAAATTACTTCAGCACACAAAGAACAACCCAAATTTCTCCAAAACCCTCCTCATAGCTAATGCCGCTCTCCATACCAGGCAACATCCAGGTAAATCTTTTCTGTATCTTCTCCAAAGCCACCACATCCTTCTGGTTGTGTGGCGACCAGAATTGAATGCAATATTCCAAATGTGGCCTAACTAAGGTTCTATAAAGCTGCGACATTACCTGCCAATTTTTAAACTCAATGCCGCAGCCGATGAAGGTAAGCATGCCGTATGCCTTGTTGACTACCTTCTCCACCTGCATTGCCACTTTCACTGACCTCTGTACACCCAGATCTCTCTGCCTCTCAGTACTCTGAAAGGTTCAGCCATTTACTGAATATTTTCCATCTGGATTAGACATTTCAAAATGCATTACCTCACATTTTTCCGGATTAAACTCCATCTGCCATCTCTCTGCCCAAGTCACCTACCGATCTATATCCAGCTGTATCCTCTGACAGTCCTCATTGCTTTCCGCAATTCCACCAACCTTTGTGTCATCTGCAAACTTACTAATCAGACCAGCTACATTTTTCCAGTTACAAATCATTTATACATATTACAAATAATAAAGGTCCCAACACTGATCCCTGAGGAACACCACTAGTCACAGCCCTCCATTCAGAAATGCATCCTTCCACTATTACCTTCTGTCTTGTATGACTGAGCCAGTTTTTTATCCATCTTGCAAGCTCACCTCTGACCCCATATGACTTTATCTTCTGTATTAGTCTGCCATGAGGGACCTTGTCAAAGGCCTTACTGAAGTCCATGCAGACAACATCCATTGCCCTACCCTCATCGATCATCTTCGTCACCTCCTCAAAAAACTCAAGTTAGTGAGACACGACCTCCCTTTCACAAAACCAAGTTGCCTCCCGCTAATGCACCCACTTATTTCCAAGTGGGAGTAAATCCTGTCTCAAAGAACCCTCTCCAATACTTTCCCTACCTCTGATGTAAGGCTCACCGGCCTGTAATTAGCTGGATTATCCTTGCCACCTTTCTTAAACAAAGGAACATTGACTATTCTCCAATCCTCTGGGACCTCCCCTGTAGCCAGTGAGGATACAAAGATTTCTCTCAAGACCCCAGCAATTTCCTCCCTTGCCTCTCTCACTATTCTGGGGTATATCCCATCAGGCCTGGGGATTTGTCTACCTTAATGTTTTTCAAGATCCCCAATACCTCCTCCCTTTTGATCTCAACATGACCCAAACTATCTATACATCCTTCCCCAGACTCATCATCCACCAAGCCCTTCTCTATGGTGAATACTGATGAAGAGTACTCATTTAATACTTCGCC